TCTGGGTCACTTGGTAATTCGAGGAGCCTGGTTTCGACCGCTCCGCTCCGAGGGAGGAACGGGAATGGGGCTTCTGCTCCTGGGAACACGGAGTCTCGGAAACCCACGGGGGCGGGTCTGCTCTGTCTGACAGTCTCTGTGCCACGGTCAGAACCCCCTCGCTGGCAGTGGGTTTGGTTGGCGTTCGCTTGTTTCAGGTTTTATGTTAATTATGGAATCCCAGGTTGCCAGACACAGGTAAGGGCCCAGCTGCTGGCCCAGCGGGGTACAGAAATGTTAGAGGTTAGGATCTTGGGAAGACAGGTGTGGCCAATACTTCCAAAAAATCAGACTCCAAACCTCGGCTCCCGCCGCCCTCCACCTGCCCCCCCACCCAGGGGAGTCCACCCTGACACCCAGGGTGTCCCCGTGTGGTTGGTATTCACTAGGCTCCGTGGCCATTGGTGGTGGTGACGTCAGGCTTCCAGGCAGCAGCTCCCCCAAGTGGGGCAGGGTGTCCGCGGTGGGTGGGTTTCGATCTCCCTCTGGCTAGTGACCAGGAAGCAGGCAATGGCAGAGTGGGTGGTGACCACGGTGCTGTGGACAGGACCTCCTCATTCTCCAACCCAGAGGAGACCACCTCCAACAGCCCCCCACTTGCACCTGACAGCAGGGAGCCCACCCCTGCCCACTGCTTGCCCTCACAGCAGCCTGTGAAGGAGGGTGAGCTCAGAGAGGCTGAGCGGGGACTCCAAGGTCACACAGCAGCAGTGAGTTTGAAGGCAGGACAGGGCAGTGCTGAGGTCCCTCTGCTCCATCTGGAGACATGGGGGGACTCTGTAGGGAGCCAGTGGCGCCTCCATACATAGCACCCCATATGTGGGCCCCCCTCTCCGTGGCTCCCTAGCTCCGGGTCGGTCTGCAGTCATGTCCGCATCCTGTCAGCACAGCCCTCTGGGGAGAACACGTGGACACGGAGAACTGAGGGCTTTGAGCTGGGGTCCCCATAGCTCACCTGGGCCTGCAGAATCCCTTAGTCTGTGTCTGGGCGGGGGTGGGGAAGGCGGTCCACCCAGCACCCCTCAGCCCAGATATGACAGCTGCTTCACAGACTGAGAGCCAAGGACAATAATTTCACGGTAAAAAATGACTGGGTGTTGTATGGGCCCGGAGGGTGGGTGCGTCCCCTGCAGGTGGTCCCAGCAGACGGATGAGGGCTCTGCTTATGAAGTCGCTGCTCCCCCATTAATTAGGGGGGAGGGGCGCACAGGCCCCCACCTCGGACTCACCCACGGCCAAAAGCTTGTCAACATTTTTCCCCAGGAATGAAAATGTAAGAACTTTGAGATTACTCAATGTCACCGCGGCATGGGAGCAGGGCACCGTGCTGCCTGTCATTTATCTCATGTGCGTTTAAAGAGCTTTTTTCTATTAAATTTCGTAAAATTAATGTTTTATGTTGCTCACAGCAATTTGAACAATTATGGGCTTAAAGAATTGATCATTACCGCCTCAGGGACTTTGGGCCCAGCCGGATTGCCTTAAAGGCACCTGATTTACGACGGGGGTGTGTAACTTAGCCAGGCAAACAGCCCAGGACCCCCTCCCCAGCCTCCACACCACCCCCTCTAGTCCTGCCTTGGGGGGAGGGCCCGCTGCCCCAGGATAAACTCCTGCACAGGGGAGCAGACCCTGCTAGTGAGCCCCAAGAGGGAGGGCGTATGTCCCTGAGTCCCGGAGGGCAGAGCTGCTCAAAGGGGAGAGTCCGGAACTTTCTGATCACCAGGAGAGAGCCGCTCTTGCTCTGGTGGCTTCTGGATCCTTGTCCTTCTCAAGCGACGCTCAGGTTTGCCAACCGGTGGAATCACCATCTTAAAATGCCCACAGGCCGGGAAGTGATGTTTCTGCCCTGGTCCCGCCAGGGTGCCCCCACTAAGGACCCCAGGGACTTTCCTGCTCCCCTACACACAAAGGGGGGCGGCAGGGGAGCTGTGCCACTCTGGTGACAAGGGCTCTGGGCAAGGAGGCTAGAAGAACATCCCGGAGCCCACTGGAGAGATGGGGACCACCAGGGTGTGGCCCTTCCCACACCCCCAAGCTCACATCTCTGCCACCCCACCCAGGATCCAGCTCAACCCCACTCCTCATTCCTGTCCCTGCTTCAGCAGTGTCCCCGCCCCTTCCCACACAAGTCGGGCCAACTCATTTGAATTAACCAGCTCCAAGGGGCCCCCTCCCCACAGAAGTGCACCCCTTGAGAGATGAGATCAGTGGCCTTCCTGCCTCTCACCAGGAGGCCCCTCTGCCTGAGGTCACCTGCCACCCTTGCTCCGGTCTCGGTCCAGAGCATGCTGGCACTGGTGTAAGCGTCAGTCAATGCAGTGGATGCCCATGGCCCCCGAGGAGCCCGGGGCCTCTTTACTCAGCTCTGTGTCTCAGGCAGCCACAGGGTGCACCCCAGGCCTGGCATGGGACAGTGCTAGGCAGAGCCTTCTCTATCTAGTGGTTGCCTATGGCCGCCGGGAAACTGAGGCTGGTGAGGTGCTGTCAGATGGGTTGGACGGGCTGTAGCTTGTCGCTTCCCTCTGCACCCCTTCCCCCAGGCCCACTCATGTCCAGCCAGGGAGGAGTTTCTGCTGCCGGACACCCCCCACCTCCCATCCCTCCAGAACTGCCCAGGATTATCGACTGGCCGCCAGCTGGAGCGAGCTGCCTGGCCCAGCAGCAAACAGGCGGAGGCCCCTTGGGGACATTTAGCACTTTATTAACCTGTCAGCGCCTAAAAGGTCCCCAGTGGCCTGGGGGCGGGGCTGGAGTGGGGGTCTGTTGGCACAGGGGTGCGACTGAGGATTTATGGCCATCCTCCCCTCCGCCTGCTGAGCCCCTCAAAGGATCTGCCCTTGGACCAGAGTTCAGGAGCTGCTGCCGGGAACCCTCTGGCTGCCCCATCCCAGACCCTCTGCCCTTGAGCCCCACACCCCAACCCTGCCCCGAGTGTCCTGCTCGGTTGAGCCCACTCAGCCCCTGCCCCTAAGATCACCATGAGTCTCCAGCTGGCCCAGGACTCCGCTGATTCCTTAAGAAGCCCGCTCACTTGAATTAGTGCTGGGGACAGGAACCTGGGTGCTGGGACCCATCTCCAGAGCAAGGCTGGGTGACCCTCGGTCCTCTCAGGACTTCCAGCCCTGCCCTGTCATCCAGGCCTGTCTCAGAGATGAAGCAGGGCTGGGTCTCAGAGGTGAGGGTCTGTCTGGCATCCCTGCTCCTCCTGCCCTCTCAGGGCCCCCATACTGCAGGGGGGTGGGGCTCCGAGGGGCTCAGGAACTTGCCAGGGCTCGCACAGTGGTGAGCAGACAGGCTGGAATAAGGGGTCTGTGGCAGCCCCTGCCGTGGGTACACCAGTCATGCCAGGCCTTCCCCTGACCTTGGACCGGCTGGGCAGGTTCTCCGGCCACCCTCCCAGGGTCCTGGACATGCTTCCTCTCTGGGAGTCCGTGGTGGGCCCCACCCACCCCAGCATGCTGCACATTGTGTACCAGATCTCCTTCTAGAAGCTGGGGGCGTGGGAGTGGGGGAGATCCAGGGGCCAAAAATCAAACCACACTCCCTGCCATCAAGTGGATGCCGACTCACAGGGACCCCACGGAACAGGGTAGATCGGCCCCTGTGCGCTTCCCAGACGGCCACTCTTTTCTTTTTTTTTAAACAGGGGATAGCGCGGACGCAGTCCCCCACTACCACAAATTATGCAGTGGAGTTTCCCACATTTGGGGAAATCGCAGGGGTCAGCACACCCGGAGTGCAATGGGTGAGCCTCGCGACGGCCACTCTTTACTGGAGTAGAAAGCCCCCCACCTTTCTCCCTCGGAGCTGCTGGTAGTTTTGAACTGTCGACCTTGTGCATCTCAGCCCAGGGGCAGGAAGAGTAAAACCCACCTCCCGGAGGCCCCACACCAGGAACCAGCGGCTCCCCCAACCGACCTTCCAAGAACGCCTGGTCTCGGCCGGCCGGCCAGCCTGCATCCCTGACCAGCGTCCCTGCTCTCAGGGAAAACACGGACCTCCTTCGACTGCAGCGACAGGTTTATTGACGTCTTGGAAAGAGCCCCTAGCTCGCTCGCTCACTCGCTCCGTGAAGGAAAGACTGGACAGTCACAGACCAACAGAGGCAGGGTTTCCGGTGGACGCCGAAGTCCTGGCAGGCCAGCTTCGTGTGGTACACAGTTGTGACTTCTCCCA